CCCTCCATTGAAAATGTATGTACGGTATACTGTCCTTGTCCAGAAAGGAAATAAAGACATCATCAAAGTAGTCCATGTGACATCAGTGGGTTAGTTAGAATGTTTTGAAGCATCGAAAATACATTTTGGTCCAAAAATAACAAAAACTAGGACTTTATTCAGCATTGTATTGTCTTCCGGTTCTGTTGTGGATCCGCGTTCAGTGACGCTGCTGACGTAAGACGCTGCTGACGTGTGTCATGCCCTGTGGTGTAGTTTAACGTCGAGTGGGAAATGCTCTGACCTCTGACCTCTGAATGATGTGTCGTTCTCAGAGCCGGACTTCTCCTACCTGGACGCTCTGGCTCCCTATCAGCCGCTGGCAATGAAGTGTGTTTACTGCCCTATAGACACGCGACTCAACTTCCACCAGGTGTCCAAACTCCTGAAGGACATCCAGGTACGGTCTGTTCCTCCTGAATGCTGTACGCTCAAATGTTGCTCTTACGGCTGCACAATTAATCGCACTGAAACCGCCATTATTTTACGCGCAGCTTGTCAGTGAAGCACGGCTGACCGGAAGGAAATGCTGCTCCATCTGAACACCAGAAATATGCCCAATACACGCCAATATAAACAAAACACGCCAAATATGCTTTGCTTTGATATATTAAACTTGACTAATAAACACACGACTGCCTTATTCTGTGTAAGAAGCGCATCATCTCACAGAAGGATGAGCTCAACTGTTGTTATGAAGTGAGTTTGGAGTAAAAGCATGTTATTAAATGTTGTCTTTTGTTGGACAAGAGGTTCATAAATGATTCTCATGTTTGGAAAGATGTGTTGCTTTTTCAAATGCACGTTATTAGCGACTGAAATTCGCAGTGCAGTCAGCAGCGTTTACAGAGCCGATCATCACTGACAAGCTGCGCATAACTAATAATCTCAGCCTGTGCGATCTCATGTAAATTGTGATTAATCAGTCCTTCCAGAAAAACGCAGAGTTTTTTTTGTGATTGTTGCAGGCGAAAATCCTTGATTATGCGGCCCGTTTTCTTAAAAAATGCGATGGAATATGCGGGATATTTATGTAATTTTATGCGATGAAATTGCGGGAACTTGCAAAAACTGATGAAAAAGAGAAAAAAAGTGATTCTCCCAACACCCTGTTCTCACTAGGCCACTACCTTAATGTAAAGAGTCATTTCTTATTACTTCCTATGATAAGCAAGCATATACATCACAGAAAGTGCTGGGAATATTTCAGTTCTCATCTTGTTTTATTTCAGACCTTAATAAACACATCAAACTTACAAAACATTGATGAGTCAAACTAGTTCTGTAGCTTTACTAAAGGAATCTGCTACAACTTCTGTAAAAATGAATAAATAAAATATAAAAAAATAAAGCGTGCTCCTGTTTTACAGCTTTTCGATGATGTTCACGTCGCGTGATTACGTCACTTCATAACGTTCCCATGGCAACGGGGAAACAGCTGCTCTCGTGTGAAGCAAACGCAACATTTTTCAACTTTCTGCTAAAATATATGACTTTTTTTGCAACGAAAATGCGAGGATTATGAATTCATGCAAGCCCCGCATATTTTGCACGGAAATCGGCAATTTATGCGGCGAAAGTGCAGCGTATTTGAAAAAATGCGGCCCCTGCATAAATATGCGGACTTTGTCTGGTTATACACTAAATCATGCGATCGCATAATCGCGTTTTTCTGGAGGGACTGATTAATCGTGAAGCCCTAATACTATTCCATAAAAAAACAAGAATTGACCATTTTGATTTCATGGTGACTTTAAAGAATTCCAATAAGGAACACTTAAATGGAATTTCTGTCATAATTTGGAACCAATATGATTCAACTGGATAAACTGAAAATCTATTTTTATTAGATCCCAGTAGGATTGGTTCCAATTGGTTCCAGGGCTCCCTTGTAAAAGTGATTTGAATATCTCAATGGGACATCACCTGGTAGTAAAAAAAAAAAAAAAATTTTTTAGAATATAATGCAGTGTAAAACTCTATTTCACAATTTCACAATCGTGACATTTATTTTTTTCTCTTTCAGTATATTAAACCCTCCAGCTTGACTTTTTTTTTATGCATTCAAAACTTGATTTAAGTGCGATTACATGGAAATTGCGATTAATCGCGCAGCCCTAGTTGCTCTTCTAAATGATTTCCGTTCACTGATTCCTCTTGTGTTGTCCCGGCAGCCTCTTCATGTGGTGTGTCCCGAGCCGTACACACAGCCTCCTCCGGCTCAGGCTCACCGCTCAGACCTGATGCTGGAGCTGCAGCCTCCACCCATGGCCTATCGTCGCTGCTCCGTCCTGGGGCTTCCCTTCAGACGCCGCTACGAGCGCATTCAGCTGCTGCCTGAGGTCACACACACATCATATTTCATTATTTATTTATAAAGCACATTTAAAAACAACGCTGAAAGCTGCACAGATCATTATACTCAAATAAAAGCAGAACAGATTATAATCTATAAAATACCGAACACAAAACTAAATAATTCATTGAAAACCAACATTAAGGAAATATGTTTTAAGCTTTGATTTAAAAATGCCAGTACGCTATTCCAGATTTCAGGGCCTGTTATCGCAATAGCTCGGTCTCCTCGATGTTTTAGCCTAGATCTACCGACAGAGAGCAATCCAAGGTTGCCGGTATCTAATGTATTTATGTATCTAATGACACGTAGAGATCTTAACCCCTATCTTAACCCTTTATTCAAATTATTAAAAATGTGTTAAAGTCCCTCTGTAGTCAATAATTGTATCCCTTTAAACTCATCTTTGATCACCAAAATGAAATATTTAAAAGTTTTTTCCTTCATGCCTTAAAATAGCTTGAATGTAACTCGACACCCTTGCCTCATTTAGTATTCGCGGTTCTATGAATATGCAAATGAGCCCCGCCTCCACTCACTCACTCAGCTCAGAGATCCACTGGTTGACGATCACACGTTGATCTGATTGGTTACAAGGTCGTTTGTGACGTCAGAAACACCAGCAATTTCTAACCGTGTTTTTGAGACTGTCTTTGCTTCACTGCAGTTTTAAAGAGAAAATACTCAGCAATGCTGTCGACTTATGAATCTGCACATGGTTTGTCTTAAAGCATATTAAAAACACCACATAGACATATAAACATTAAATAACTTGATTTTCACCACAGGGGGACTTTAAAGATTTTGTAAGCATATTACGTAGTTGTGCTTGTAATCAATTGTTTTATTTGTCATAACGTTTGGTCTTTCCTCATATTTAAAATATTTCAAAAAATATTTTCGTCATATTTTGATCGACCTTGTAATGTCATTAAAAACAAATATCACATACTTATATATTTAAATATATAGTGTATTTGGATTTTTATTTCAGGTTTAGTTTTATTTTAGTTAGTAATTTTAGTATTTTCACTTATTTCAGTTAGTTGCCAAAGCAATTTAAAAAAAATTCATTTAGTTTACGTTTTTCTTGTAATATTAATATTTCATTAATTAATTTAACAAAAAATATTTGGTAACACTTTACTTAAAGCCTTTATGTATAATGCATTATAAAGGTTTTCATAATGTAGGATATAATGCATCTGAAGTTGCTTGTGTTTTCCAGGGTTATTTTCGTAAATAAAAACTGAAACTAAGACTAAAACTATTGGTCAAAAAACATTTTTGTAAACTGAAATAAAATAGATATTTCAAGTAGAAAATAGAAATGCATTCACAAAATAAAAACGAAACTAAAATTAACAAAACCATTAATGAAACTAACTAAAACTAAACTAAGAAATTTATAGGAAATTTGAAAATGATATTAAAATAAAACCTATGCAAAACTATAATAACCTTGGTGTTTTAATTAGGGCTGTCAAATGATTAATCACGATTAATCACATCCAAAATAAAAGTTTTTTTTACATAATATATGTGGGTGCACTGTGTATAATTATTTTGTATATATATAAATACACACACATGCATGTATATTTAAGAAAAAATATAATTTATATATAAAATATTTATATATAATATAAATTATATATAAATCTATATACAGTATATACATGAAAATATTTCTTAAATATATACAAGCATGTGTGTGTATTTATATATATAAAATAATTATACACAATGCACCCACATATATTATGTAAAAAACAACTTTTATTTTGGATGTGATTAATCGTGATTAATCATTTGACAGCCCTAGTTTTAATGCATTATACTTTCTAAAGGTGTAACGAAGAATAAATTAGTATTATAACTTTGGTTACAATTATTCATGAGACCATACGATGCGTTATAAGGTTTATTAAAAGGCATAATTCATGCATTAAAGTACTTTTATAATGCAAAGGCTTTAAGTAAAGTGCTACCAGATATTTTTTGGGTAACTATAACACCTCTGGCATAAAAATATTGATTGTGTAAATTGATTATTTGTATGCTTAAAAATAATAATAAATAGTATCAGTAATAAAAAACTGTATCAGTCGATATCTTTTTCAATATCTCCGTCTCTTTTCCTCCAGCTTGCCAAATCTCTGGTTCCCTCTGAGATTAAACCCGGCGTCTCTGTCGCTACAGTGTCTGCGGTTCTGCAGTCCAAGGACAACAAGCACGTTCTGCAGGTCAGTGTGTGTGTGTGTGTGTGTGTGTGTGTCAACAACAACATCCGCAGAAACACTCGTGTCGTGCATGAATTTACTTCAGTTGCTGTGAACATTGTCTGAAGCATTTTTAGCCCATTTTATAACCAATCACATGGTTCGTAAATTACAGTTTAGTCATCCATCATGAACACACGGCCCTTTCTCACATTCACAATGCAAAACTCCCTTTCCTGGCCACTCGGGACATTTCTGGAAACTAAACCACAAAACAACTCGTTCTTCATGAAATCACAACCATCAGCACATAAAGGACATAAGCAAAAAATGTATATTGTCAAATTCTCAATGTTTTGGTTGATGATAATATTTGTCACGATATGAACATTTCTATGGAAAAAAACTAAACAAAAAACAAAGGTAGATTTGAGTATTGTAAATTACTCAATTTAAAATACAAAAAAGCTATTTGAAATTATTTATAAAACATGAAAAAGTACAAATTTAGAATATATAATTTTAACAATATCAAATATGTAGGTAGTTAACTATATCACACACATAGGTAATAAAACCATTTTTAATCTTTTTTTCTTTGTAATTTACGATACTCTATGGAAGCTTGTTTCTGCCACAGAATGAAAAATAAAAAAGGTAATTGCGACTTTTTATCTCACAATTGCGAGTTTACATCTCGCAATTCTGACTTTATTTCTCAGAATTGCGAGTTATAAAGTCAGAATTGCGAGATATAAAGTCAGAATTCATTGATATAAAGTCGCAATTGCGTGTTATAAAGTCAGAATTGTGAGATATAAACTATTCTGAGGGGGGAAAAGTTACTTTTTTCCCCCTTAGAATTGGCCTGATAACTCGCAATTGCGAGTTTATATCTCACAGTTCTGAGAAAAGATGGCAGAATTTCGAGATATAAACTCGCAATTATGTGTTATAAAGTCAGAATTGCGAGATGTAAACTCGCAATTGTGAGATAAAGTCTCAATTCTTTTTTTCTTGCAATTGCGACTTTATATCTCGCAATTGCGACTTTATTTATCACAATTCTGACTTCATATCTCGCAATTGTGAGATAAAAAGTCGCAATTATTTTTTTAATTCAGTGGCGGAAACAAGCTTCCATAATACTCAGATGAACCTTTCTTTATTATTTTTCATATATATGTGTGTATATATATATATATATATTTTGCTCACATCAATGAGAGAAAATAAAGTATGTTAAAAAACTAAAAATACTAATTTAGCTGCATGTTTTTTTGTTTTGATAAAAAACTTATTCTTTTTGTTCATTTTCACCCATCTCAAGGCCTGTTTACTATTCAGCATCTAACAAACATAATAAGTGGACGTGAGAGAGAAAAATAAATGTTGTGTATTAGAACATGGCCCTTTAAAGTAAAACGCATACTTCACACAAGCATGTTCAGACATCTGGTTATCTAGAAGCATTTGCATTTAATACCTGTATGTTTCAGGCCTAAGAATTGATATTAAGCTCTTATTTGCATGTGTGTGTGTGTGTTGTAGCCGGTGCCCAAACCCGCTCCAGTGCCGCCCAGTAAGAAGAGGAAGAGGGTGATGGAGGAACCGCCAGAGGTCCTGAACCCGAAACCTCTGCTCAGCGGGGCGGTTCCTCTCGAGCCGTTTCTGGCCACACTGCACAAGGTACGAGACACACTCTCTCTGTACGCTAACCAGTCAACTCCAGCCTCAGGAGTGAAGTGAGCCGCCTGTGGGGCAAAGTCAAGCCGGGACAAGACTTTGATGAATGCAACAGACACTCAGATGAAACACTGTGTGTGTGTGAGTGTGTGATGTCCCGGGGCAGTAGAAAGAGAAGCGCACACCTGACGGTGGTAATTCAAAGATCTGGCCCTGAAGAGACGCTCTCTGTTTGAGTCTCAGTAGCGCCAGCTGCAGGAAACACAATGTTCATGAACTAAATCAAAAACAGGATGAAGTGAGAGAAATCCACCCATCCTGTGAGAACGAGAGGCATTAGCATGCAGGGAAACGCCAAACTCCTCATTTGCTTGGATCCCAAACGGCAGATTTTGGCAGCGCCGGAACATCGATTAGACGCTAATTAATCTGGAAAGGAAATGAATTTCTCTAATGATTCTGAAGGAAGGTGACTTCCTCCTCAAGGTGACTCTGAGCTGCTAATGAACTCTTAGAGAAGTGTTTTAGTGCTGATCAGGCAGGGTGCTGAAGCGGCGGATGGCTTCTGATACTCAGGTGCTGTTTTTCTCACATTGAACTTCTTGTGTGGCAGTTTTACAACAATCAAAGGGATTTTTAGTGCAAGTATGAAGATATTTTTCAATACTTTTTGGTCCACTGTAGTTGAATTCTTCAAACTGGCCCTATTTCATTCAGTGAGGTTTTTATTTTAGCAGTTTAAAGTCCCTCTGTAGTCAATAATTGTATCCCTTTAAACTCATCTTTGATCACCAAAATGACATATTTAAAAGTTTTTTCCTTCATGCCTTAAAATAGCTTGAATGTAACTCGACACCCTTGCCTCATTTAGTATTCGCGGTTCTATGAATATGCAAATGAGCCCCGCCTCCACTCACTCACTCAGCTCAGAGATCCACTGGTTGACGATCACACGTTGATCTGATTGGTTACAAGGTCGTTTGTGACGTCAGAAACACCAGCAATTTCTAACCGTGTTTTTGAGACTGTCTTTGCTTCACTGCAGTTTTAAAGAGAAAATACTCAGCAATGCTGTCGACTTATGAATCTGCACATGGTTTGTCTTAAAGCATATTAAAAACACCACATAGACATATAAACAAGATTAAAAGCTTGATTTTCACCACAGGGAGACTCTAATTGAAAAAAAATATATGTATATATATATATATATATATCAGTGTTATTTTATTATTGCTTACTATTTTAGTATTATATATTATAGTATTTATTCATATTGAATTCGTTTTTTTTGTGTAGGTTTTAGTAGTATAGTTATTTGCTTTTGTTATTTTTAATAAAAAAAGATTTAAATATTTTCCTTAATATATTTCTATTTTGCACATATTTTTCCATCTAATACCTATATTTTATTTATAATTAAGGTAAAAAAAACAAATGTGCATTTGAGTATAATGAATTACAAATAAAAACATCAATAATAAATATATCAAACATCAATAATAACAGTAATAACACGTATCAAAGTAACATCAATAATAACAGTAATTCAAGTACTTCAATATAAACATTTTATTAGTTGCCAATTTTTTCCATTTAATATTTTATTTGAATTCAGCTTTTTTACAATTAAGGTAAAATTAGTTTCAATAGTTTTAGTTAACAATGTCAACATTGATCTCTATTTATTATGCATATTTTGATATGTCTGGTTCTTGCATGTAAAATAAAATGCTGTAGTCTGAACACTTTTTCATTAGTTTACCCAGAACACCCTAGCAACCACCTAGCAACCGTCGGAATGACATAGCATTGGCCTTGAAACCACATGACAACCTATTGGCAACTCAAAACACCTTAGCAATCACATTTCAACAAAATGTAAGAAGTTATGGTTGGACAGTAATGCATTCTGGTATAAGTGAGAGTGGCAGCGAGAGCTCATAATCTCCATTCTCTCACACACGTTTGAGTTGTCGGGTCGGCTCTCAGGAACCGCAGGATGATGACGCTGCTAAATGGGCCGCTGAGAGCCGGTTGGTTTGACCACAGCTGTTATTACAGTGTAAAGTGTCCCAGGTCTCCACCATTAAACATTAAGCTGAGACCTTTTGAAGGATCAAACCTCTCGGATAAACGGGAACGAGCCAATTAAACCAATCCCCAGATGAACTTTGAGACGCTGTGCTGGAGTAATTAACATCGCTTCTAGTCTCTGCAGAAATCAAACAGCAGTATTATTTTACTGTCATTCACATAGTATTTATTCATTTTACATAGTATTTATTAATATTTTAAATTCGCTTTTATTTGTATATATTCAATTTTCATTTTTTTTTAATGTTTTTTTGTTGTTGTTGTTTTTTAGTAATCTTGTCATGTGCTTTATTTTTCTATTTGGATTTTAGTTTAGTAATTTTAGTACTTACACTTCAACTTATTTTATTTCAACTTTTAAAATTTTCGTTTATTTTTTTAAAAGTTTGTTTTTCATTTACTATTTATATTTTTTATTTTGAGCTTTTATGTCAGTTACCGAAAATGATTTTTAATAGTTTTAAGGCCCCGATATACTTCAAGCGAAATCGAAAGACAAACTCGTGTGACGCCATTTCGGCCAAAACGAATTAATCTAACTACCATTGGTCAGTAGCGATGATGTCATAGGTGGGTGTGGCTCTGAGGCTCCGCCTTCTTCTCGGGTTCATCTCTTCATCAGTCCGCCGAGGTCAGGCGCGAGTAAAAACATGAACACGTTAAATAGTCGCAATTGCGTGTTATAAAGTCAGAATTGTGAGATATAAAGTCAGAATTGATTGAAATAGTCGCAATTGCGTGTTATAAAGTCAGAATTGCGAGATATAAAGTCAGAATCGATTGATATAGTCGCAATTGTGTGTTATAAAGTCAGAATTGATTGATATAAAGTCGCAATTGCGTGTTATAAAGTCAGAATTGCGAGATATAAAGTCAGAATTGATTGATATAAAGTCGTAATTGCGAGATATAAAGTCAGAATTGATTGATATAAAGTCGCAATTGCGTGTTATAAAGTCAGAATTGATTGATATAAAGTCGCAATTGTGTGTTATAAAGTCAGAAATGCGAGATATAAAGTCGAAATTGATTGAAATAAAGTCAGAATTGCGAGCTATAAAGTCAGAATCGATTGATATAAAGTCGCAATTGTGTTATAAAGTCAGAAATGTGAGATATAAAGTCAAAATTGATTGAAATAAAGTCGCAATTGCGTGTTATAAAGTCAGAATTGCGAGATATAAAGTCAGAATTGATTGATATAAAGTCGCAATTGCGTGTTATAAAGTCAGAATTGCGAGATATAAAGTCAGAATCGATTGATATAGTCGCAATTGTGTGTTATAAAGTCAGAAATGTGAGATATAAAGTCAAAATTGATTGAAATAAAGTCAAAATTGATTGAAATAAAGTCGCAATTGTGTGTTATAAAGTCAGAATTGCGAGATATAAAGTCAGAATTGATTGAAATAAAGTCGCAATTGCGTGTTATAAAGTCAGAATTGCGAGATATAAAGTCAGAATTGATTGATATAAAGTCGCAATTGCATGTTATAAAGTCAGAAATGCGAGATATAAAGTAAAAGTATAGTAAATATAAAAGTAAAGTAAATATAAAAGTTACTTTTTTCCCCCTTAGAATTGGCCTGATAACTCGCAATTGCGAGTTTATATCTCACAGTTCTGAGAAAAGATGGCAGAATTTCGAGATATAAACTCGAATTTTTTTATTTTGAGCTTTTATGTCAGTTACCGAAAATGATTTTTAATAGTTTTAAGGCCCCGATATACTTCAAGCGAAATCGAAAAACGAACTCGTGTGACATTAATCTAACTACCATTGGTCAGTAGCGATGATGTCATAGTAGGGCTGTCACTTTTGTGGAAAAATCCTGTTCGATTTTTGAGACGTAAGTGTTCATTGAACAAGTCAGCAATATTTCTGATGATTTATTGGCGTGAAGTTTCGTGCACAATGACAAACAGGAGCGCAACATTCAGGGATTGAAATGAACTCCCTCCAACTCGCCAAATGCGGGTAAAAATGAACTTTGGCGGGAAACGCTGTCAAATCACGAGCCAATCTGGCGTGTTTCTATGTTTACCGTACTCACTTTCTTTGCTGTGGAAGTTCGTGTAAGCCAAATCTGCGCGGATTTAGCGCAAATACGCAACTCGTGAGTCCTCATGATATATTAAATACAGCGTATTGTGCAGAATCTGCGCATTTCTGGCTTACTTGAACACACACGTCACTACGCAACAAATAACGGCGCGCTTGTTCACTTCCATTGAAGTAATAGCGAATATTAAAAAGCATTTGGTTAACAGAAAAGACTTTGTTATTTTCCAACATCATACATGTTCTGTGTGCTGTATTGATCTGTCCACCTAAAACACATTTTTGGTAAAAAAAAAAAAAAAAAAAAGGCCGTTAAAATCGATTCCCTATTTTCGTTTTCGATACTTGTGTTGGTTGGTCCAATCGATTGTGCAATCGATTTTCGAACGTAAAGTGACAGCCCTATGTCATAGGTGGGTGTGGCTCTGAGGCTCTGCCTTCTTCTCGGGTTCGTCTCTTCTGATCAGTCAGTCGAGGTCAGGCGCAAGTAAAAACATGAACACACTTGAAGTGCTGCTTTATGCTAGAGGATGAAGTTGTAATTCTAATTAACCTATGGCTAAGCCACGCCCCCTCCACTCACTCGGACAAACAGTCAACATTCGGTGACAGGCGCTATGGCAGCTGTCACAGTAGGAGACATTTCACAGGAGGCAATTGATGATTTTTGGAGACAGAAAGATTATATATCATCTCGAAGTCACCAAAAGGGCCTTAACTATGCATTGGAGGGTTATGTTAATAATTTTATTGTTGAGAAGGTCGATGAAAAGCTTCAGCTCCAGGCAAACATGTACAGGTCACAGTGTAAACGTGATAAACCGCATCTCGTTGCCATCACCATCTCAGACAACAAGATTGAGGATCAGCATTGTTCATGCACTGCAGTATTTACATGAATCATTCAGCACAACATTGCTAACATTTGTTATCTTGGTTATTTACAGATGCGTTAATGAAGCTAAGTGACATGATGTACAACGCAGCTAGAAGCTAACGTCAACGTTTTCTGATGTTACGTTAGAGATGTTAAAGATAACGTTAAAATACGTTGTTGACTTAGAACAGATGTAGACATCCTTGTTTAATTCTTGTTTAATTTATCCACGTTTAGTTGGTGTTGTGGCCTACCGCATAACTTTATCCAGAGCAGACACTTATCTCGGTTGAGATGTGGCTTGGGAAAGGGTAAAAAATACACACCGTCGCCCAGCCTCTCGGGATACCTAGTGTCGGAGTTGCATGTACCCCATGCACACCATTTGACCATTTTAAACTTAAAATGACAAGAAAAAACATAAAAACGAATGAAAACTGACTAACTGCAATGCATTTCAATGGACGTGGAAGCAGAGAATGTCCGAGTGTATTGGGTTAGCTATGCGCTCTGTGATTGGCTCATCGCATTTGGGGGCGTGGCTTAGCCATAGGTCAATTGAACGAGACACTGACACATTTTTTTCATTTTTAGTGATGTAAAGCTGCTTGTATTGTAGTGCTATATTAATCAGCGCGACGTGGTTTGACTGGAGGGCCGAGTAGCAGCAAACATATCCATATGATCAGATGGTTTCTGAACTGCTGTTGCTCATATTTACATATTCATCTAAACGTCGCTCTCAGCAGAGTCTGGATATATTCACTATATCACTGCTTGCATATTTCGAACTTTTTGTATTAGTTGACGATAACAACACTGGTACTTACTGGAGACTGCACAGAATGTAACTCGACACCATTGCCTCATTTAGTATTCGCGGTTCTATTAATATGCAAATGAGCCCCGCCTCCACTCACTCACACAGCTCAGAGATCCACTCGTCGACGATCACGCGTTGATCTGATTGGTTAGGTAAGGTAGTTTGTTCTGCCAGCATATTATGCAACAGTAAATGCTTGATAAAATGATGATATGCACAGCATAACTGTCTTAAATGACTAACTGTCTCCTGGTAGAACGGCATCATGGAGGTGAAGGTGGAGGAGACGGCAGACGGACACATTCTTCACCTGCAGGCAGAAGATGTGCTCATCCAACTGGAGGAAGACGGCACACACATCATCTGTGACAACAACGAGCCGCTACGCACCGCGCTGAGAGACCTGGTGCTGCGCTTCCTGCAGAAACTATGACCTCTGACCTCTCGTGGATATCTGGCTCCTTAACGACTTGACCCGTCAATAAAGAGGCTGCACATCCAGAGCCAGAAAACAGGATCCAAAACTACTGTAATGGCGGATGAACTTCAGCGTGGACAGATATAACGTGTTCATTTTACTGTTTGGATGGAGACTTTTGTCTGTGTGTTTTATATCATTGTAAAATAACGTTGAAATAAAACTTTTTTTCTATATTTCCTTCAGCCTGTTTAAAACTCATCCAGAAATTAAATTTCTCTTGTCATTTACTCACCCACATATTCAAAACTCGCTTTAATGTCACTTTCAGTTATGCGATGTGCCAATCATATTTGAATATTGGACGTCCAATATTCAAATTCAAGGACTTAATGTAGGGACACATTTCGAGTGAGAGCAAGGTTACCTCGTAAGATACAGTACACAATTATGCCTAAGTTTTCCTCTTTTGTAGATGGTAATGACATTGAAAAACTAACACTTGTGTAGGTGTTCAGATACATCTAATAGTTTTCAGTATAGAAATGTAGCAATTTGCGGTCTGATTCAGTTTGGTATGTTAGGTTTTGAAAGCATGTCTTAACTGGCCTGTAGGTTCATAAAGGTTTGGTGGTGTTTGAGTGAGAAAATAACTCGTGTGATTTGAAAGATTTCATCACTGAATGCTTTTTGTGCCAAAACCATGATAAATGACCCACAGTGCTCTCCGCTCAAGTATTGAGAAATGGGTCCTAGCGATTGTAAAACAACAACAACTGTATTGTCGTTAGTAACTAAGGATCATGCTAAGGTCATGGGTTTGATTCCTAGGGAATGCATGAAATAATACTAAAATTCATACTTTGAAGGCATATTCCAAATGCATTAATGTAAAAAAAATAAAATGCTCTTTAAGACTAGCCAGAATAATTGGGTAAGATTTATCTTAATGAGTTCAAGATCTGAAAGTAATTGTTCCATTGTGTGTTCATTCATTCATTTTCAGCCATATGTTAGTGCATCTAAAATTTCTCATTTATCTAATGATTTCTCATACTCTAAAAGCTGGTTTCAAATCATGAAATGATAAATGAGGTTCTCTTTCAAACATTCGCTCGGTATCTCACTACGGGCCATTTCATTCTAATACTGAAGATGAATATGAATGCATTAGATAACAACATATTGGGAAAAAAACCCACCTAAATGTAAGATTGGGAAGAGCGAGCCAATCAGATCTTTTTATTAACCATACATAAAGTAGCCTCTTATCTCTCACATAATCATCTCCTGCAATATAGACTGTGTTTAACCTAAATAACTATATCTATATTGGAAAACTCAAGCATAAACATTCAAGGTTTGAAATGCTAAAACAACAGATGAAAATAAAGACGTTAGTGGATCATGATGATAGTTAATGTGAGGATTTAGACCTGTGCATCAGTGTTGCTATTAACTAAAACTATTACAAATAGTAATTGAAATAATACTGGAATACAATTAAATATAAATATTAGATGGAAAAACTTCTGGCTTTGGCAACTAACTGAAATAAGCTGAAATACTAAAATATTATTAATACTAAAACTAATATAAAAATAAATTAAAGCTAAATAGAAATATATATATTTATATTTAGCTTTAATTTATTATATATATATATATATATATATATATATATTTATATAACTATGACAAAAGCATATAGCAAAATTACTCAAATTAAAAATAAAAGCTAATTCAAAATATTAATTTAATTCTATAACAGTATGTAAAAAATTCTAAAATATATGAAAACAAACTTCATATGTCCCATAAAAATCACCAAAAACACAGCTGATTCAAAAGCTTTAAATACTTACTTAGAAAAGTGATGTTAGTGAAGAGAAAATGATCCTGCATCATTGAAACACTAGATTTCTGTATTTAATGCAATAACATTCAGACATTTATAACTGGCTTCAGTGTTCAAACACATTTGGGGGTCACGCTAAACAGTTCAACACAGAATATGAGAATATGAACCTCAACCTAGTGTTTTAAATGGATAATTGAATCAGCCAAGCACTCGCTGGCTCTGGGGCGTTTCGAGTGAGAGGAGGTGAAACATGTAGTAGAGTTTAATAACGCAATCTATCTCTCTCTGCACTGAAATATGTCTCTCTCTCATGAGTGCTGTAACACACACACACACACACACACACACACACACACACGGAAACCCCATGTCAGCACACAAATCTCGTAGTTATTGCAGTATCCCCTTGTCAGTGTTTGTGTGGAATGAATTATTGCTATTGCTCATACTAGGTTATTGATTTTAACAAACTCTAAATATTTCATCTGGTAGTCGACAGTGTCATCATCATGAAATACCATAATTATTAAAAAACAATAGCATTTGGACACGTACCATATCATGCCATGGTGTTATTTAATGTAGACAGACAGAATATAGACAGATGGATAGACGGACGGACGGACGGATGGATGGATAGACAGATAGATATAGACAGACAGACAGACAGACAGACAGACAGACAGACAGATAGACAGATAGACAGATAGACAGACAGATAGATAGATAGATAGATAGATAGATAGATAGATAGATAGATAGATAGATAGATAGATAGATAGATAGATAGATAGATAGATAGATAGATAGATAGATAGATAGATAGATGGTGTCTCTTCATCTTAAGGAGATGTGCACTGGCTCTGGTCTGTCTGCTGAGACTGTGGAGGTTTCTGAGGGTTCAGCCCATCAGGGAGGGTGTAGTCTTCACTCTTCGTCATGTGTTAGAGAGTCAGATGTGTGTGTGTGTGTGGGGATTGATTACAGACTGCAGTGTTTCGGGATGTTGGACTGCTCCTGGAAGGAAACACAGACTGATCCCGAGGCGTATCAGAGCAGCTGCTCACGGCACAGTCCCTCTCAGAGCGGGATGTCCGAACACAAGAAGCTCCAGAGGAGAACAGCAGAAGAGCAAGTGTGTGCTAGTGATCAATCAATCGGGATCACATGAACCTCTTATTTGTGCAAGAGAATCCCCTAAATTATCAAACGGTATAATAACGTAAAAAGGGATTCATTCTACTCCAAACTAACAATGAAATCAGCGGGAATGTTTTTTTCCTGAGTTCAGGTCAATTAGAGTTGCGCACACGTAATTAGTAAAATCACATTTTTGAATATACTGTTTCTCTCATGCAAGTTTGAAAAAAATATATAATTACCTACGGTTTTAATCAACAAGACTCACCGTCATCTAAGGAATATAACCGCTAACAGACAGGAATGTAAATGATTGCAGATAGATACTGTATTTTCACAACGCTAACATTTATTAACACACCGCTAACGCTAGATTTCTCTTAACAGATTCAGGCTCTTTTTCCAACTTTCTGGAGTAACAGTTGATGGTTCAAATATTGTATGTGGTCCAATCTGATCTAAAATAACATAACTATTTAAAAAAATTACTAAATAAATAATATAATAATAATAATACATTGTATTTTACTCTATCATTTATTTATTATCTGACAACACTAGTATTAATGTACTAAATACATAATTATAGAATAAAAATACTAATAAAATGTATATTATAATAACAAAAAAATTAATTTAGATTATTATATTACATTCAGACAAGTTTACCATGAGAGCCTTGGCCTAGCGGTTATTATTGCACGTTGATAAACAATGAAATGTGGTCCATAAATCCAGATTGCAATTTCCTCATCCCATGCCTGTATAAATATAGTTCATAAACCAAATAAAAAGTATTGCAAAATGACATGTGATGAACTGAGTACTCGATTCCCTAACCTGAACACAGATTCGGCCTATAGTGAATACTGAGATCGTCACCGTAATGAAAGAGATGATGAGACTGGCTGGTTTATTAGTGTGGTTGAAGAAGTTATAACGTTTGCTGGCATTCAACACTTTACAACCAATAGTTTATATATTGTCAGTTACGGTCCAATCCAAACGGTCATACAGTCTTCACAATGACTAAAAAGTAATTAAACATTAAAGCCTGTTCAATAGATTGAAACAATACAAAACATGGGCATATCGGATTATTTATATTCCTCTTCTAAGGGGAACAGAGCCACATTTTTGTGTTTTAAAAAATAAAACTCATTCGTTTACAATAGCAGAGCCATCTTCCTAAATGTACCTGTCAAACGTGTCAGACATCGTGAATGAAGCAAAAGACTGAAGGGTGAAATCAGGCCGGCAGAAGAAGCCTCGGGACACAGAACTCGTCCTGCCACAGAAGAGACACACGTACCGTTTACAGAGGAAAGAGAACTACTGTCACCGTTATCCTTCAGCACATACATCATGTGTGTAGTTGCATTAGTTTCACAGACCCGAAAGGCCATCAGGTGTAAGAAATCTCAAAGCGGACACACAAACACATTCTCACATGAAACTGTCAAGAGCATGTCCAGGTCACATTTCACCAAGAACAAATAAATATGATATTGTGCACCAAAAGTATTTATGGGACCAGATTTTTTGCCTTGTGATATTATTTTCACGCTTTTTCCCCTAAAGAAGTCTCACCAAAAAAATAAAATAAAAATCACCATATTTCAAAATGAAAACATGTTTAAAATCTAAATATTTATGTCATTGTAATATTTGATGAACTGAATTTTTCAAGAATTAGATTAGGAAAATGATGTGCTTTACAGTAATGGCAATTTTTGCATTATGGTATTGAGAACTGGTAGAAATCTTCATAGTCCTAAAACATTTAATTTTATTGAAAAATTATATTTTGCATTAGAAAAAGAACAATGATTTTTTTTGTTGCATTATGTAATGACAATTTGGGTGTTTAAATGTTGAAAATGATGTCATAATAATAATAATAAAAAAGGCTAAAAATAGGATTCATTTTCTTTCATTTAAATACATGAGTAAATATGACCTGGATAGTTCTTTGTCATTTCACTTATGAAATCAATCATAGGACCTTCTTAAAATGACACAACACATAAACAGACTTGATTATCCAGCAAAAGGCATTAAGATCAATCTGTTATTCCACATGTGTACTGAACAGGTTACAATACACACAGATATGTTTTCTTGTATGATCGTGATGGACATGAGAACATGTAACAGTTTGATTTGGTGCTATTCCTATGCAGTTATGTTTGATACCTTGTGCTATTCTTACTGATGATCAACAAACATTTGATGGGGGTTAGTGGCGTCTAGTCACCATCAACCTACAGAACAACACACACAGCCTTTCACACAAGCTCAAAAGCACACACACACACGAGTAAAAAAAACATGTCAGTGCATTTCAAACAACAGAGTATATATGCAAAGTAAAAATAAAAACACTAATCATTTAGAGCGATGACACCTCCCATAATTCATCAAAAACAGCCTCCATCGGTCCATAACTTCGTTTGTTCTGTCAGTATAACATGATGCAAATATTAGTTTGACATCCATTAAAGCGTCCCATGAAAAGTGGTGCAAATAAAGCCTGTAGTGGTTGCTGATGAATCACGCACAAGTGACCGTTAAAAACGCCTGACGGTGATCGTTCGTTCTGCTTTTGTTCTCCCTTGGCTTCAAGGAAGACGAGTTCAAAGTAAAATTGTCCCATATTTACAAGAAAGCTTCGATTTCCTTCACGTTCCCAGAGAGAGACCGTGCCGTGTCAGCGCTTCGTCGGATTCCTGTGCTTGTTCCATTAAATGAATTTAAAACATTTGGTCTTGTCGTGCGGCAATCTCGTCTTGAAGAGTACCGAGTCCACTCTGAACTGAGTATATAACAGCGGCATGTATCCGTAGACTTTTACGAAGAAGTTGATGCACTTGTGGCGCTCGTGGAAGTGTGAATCGTCGTGTGACAGAGCCTGCGGACATCCGGGACAGCGGAAGGTCCAACGTGACGTCACCTGAGGAAGAATTAAACGAATAATGACTTCAATTTCAGACAGTTCCTCCTTACACAATCTATCATGCATCTTCAGAACTCTTAGGGCCCGTTTACACCCGAGGGGCGTCCCAAATCGAGTACTTGTGCACTATTCTACGCCATTTTCTAGTATAAATAGTGCTAGGGTGACCATATTTTGATTAGCAAAAACCAGGACACTCGGCCCGGCAAACAGATACTCAAATGATACTCGAAGTTTACTCAAAGATGCCTTATTAATTTCAACACATTTAAAGTAGGCTATGCCTCCTCTGTATGGATAGAAAATTGTTATATTACAAGACACAAATTCAGATAGGCTTCTCAGAGGTTACTCAACATGTTTTATTATGACAGGTTTCAAAAATAATGAATGAAATAATGATATAAATAATGTCTCTTCTGTATTAGAAAAATAAATATATAAATAATAAATAACTAAAAGAAATACCTCCAAATTGAAATAGCTCTCACAAACTTACAAAAACGAAATAACAAAATATATTTATATCTTTAGTTTTCTTCCTCTTTATCCTGTTTTTCTTCCTCATCCTCCTTGTTTGCCCATCTATATTTTGCTGTAGAGCTGATCTTTCCCAGCAGTTTTTTGAAAGCCAGGACATTTTCATCACTTTATAAAAAACAGCCAGGACAGGACGTGAAAACAGGACATGTCCTGGGAAAGCAGGACTGTTGGTCACCCTAAATAGTGCGAGTAGCGCGATCACACTGAAAATACTAAAAAGAAAAAGTGCACTTTAAGTATCCGGACGATGCACTTATTTAACCGAAAAAACGAAGTTAATTTTTGATCCGTTTTAGCTTACCTCAAAGGGCATCCAAGATGTAGGTGTCTTTGTTTCCGCAGTATTTCCAATTTTGATATTTTTAGGTCAAACCGTTCTTGTCTGTCAGTCATATAATGCAGGTCTATGGTCACCTCCTCACCACACGCGCGAGAGTTCACTTCCGGCGCTTTCCGGAAAAGACCGAAGCGCCCGCGCCCTCAGATTACTTGGACGTGGCTGTGGTTACAAGAGGTAAAAACGATATAAATACTGTTCGTTTTCTCACACAAACCGCTCGTTTCGTGTCTTAGGCCATCAGTGTGTACTGACATTTACGAGTCATTAAATCATGTTTAATTTGGACTTCTCTGTGCATGCTCTTTGAGGAGGTGACCATAGACCTGCATTATATGACTGACAGACAAGAACGGTTTGACTTAAAAATATCAAAATTGAAAATACTGTGGAAACAAAGACACCTACATCTTGGATGGCCTTGAGGTAAGCTAAAACATATCAAAAATTAATTTCAAAGTGAACTATCCCTTTAATTATGTAGCGGAGGGGGAGGGGCATCAGACTCCGATGTTAAAAGACAAAATAAACGTATAAAGTTCACACACTACACGGTTGAGTACATAGTGTAAAAGTGCGTCATTTGGGACACAGCTTCGGTCACTTCATGTGTTTTTACTGACCAGATAGCTAATTTATCAAAACGATTCCCTTTACACCTGGTCACATAAATGTGTTTTCGCAAAACCGTTATAAATCCGATCTTCAATTACCGCGCATTATGCAGATTTCATATGAAGATAATATGATGCCATAAAGAATTGCATGCGTAAGAGAAGATTTGTAAAGGTGTAAATCGCCTTTCAGGTGTAAGAAAAAAAATATTTGCAGCATTTTACTGTTATTCGTAAGTGTAATGCATGTATTGTGGAGCTGCAGCTTCATGCTAACGCAAAATAAACTGGAACAGGAACTGCAAAACAGATTGATCGTGTAAAACCACCGTGTTGTGGATCCGCCCTCCTCTTCACGCTTGCAAAACTCAATGAGTGAGAGAATTGTGCCAAAACTGGAAGCGCAGCTTAAAGAGAGACGCACGCAACTGTACAAATCGGGTTATTCCGGGAACTTTTTTGCCCCATGCACACAACAAGTCATTCAGACATTTGCAAGAGTTTATTTTTTTACACAAAGGATGGTTTTACGTAATCAATCTGTTTTGCAGTTCCTGACTCTGTTGTTTTCGCTTGCAAATTGCTGTTCACAGGCTTGCAGTGCTTTTGGCCGTATTTGTGCAAAAAAAAAAAAAAAAACGTGCCAAAAGTGTAAGAAGCGAATGCATGTCAGAGGAATACAGATCCTATTTATTTTGCGTTAGCATGAAGCTGCAGCTTCACAATACATGCATCACACTTACGAATAACAGTAAAATGCTGCAAATATTTTTTTCTTACACCTGAAAGGCGATTTACACCTTTACAAATCTTCTCTTGCGCATGCAAATTTAATTTACGCTTGTAATCTTATGTACACTTTCACGAATCTTACCCTGCGCATGCGATTCTTTATGGAATCATATTATCTTCATAAGTTCACGTCACCGAAAGCAACAGATATGAGCTGCAATTTATCGATCATCAGCTAATTTTAAAATCAAAGACCGCAATAGGAGAGAGTGACAACAGCCCTGGGAAGATCATTTCGTTTCTTTACTTTTAATGAAGAAGATTGTGTGTTAAGCGTCTGCGACTTACTTTCACTTTGATTTGTGATAGCTTGCACGTTGGCTTGATGAATAGATGCTCATCTGCATGACATATAGCCTATAACAAGCTCTCACACGTTTATTTTTTTGCATTGTTGGGAGGAGTAAAATTTACATATGTGGTTTCAACAACCAGATGCATTTACACGTATCTACTTTATTCTGGAATGCGGCCCAGAACACCTTCTGATGTGGTTTGAGCGATCGGATTTACATCCGTCTCAAATGCGTTACGGAGGGCATTTACACCTGGCCTTTTCATGATCGGACAGCTACCCGATCACAGAAAACGCATGAAGAGGCCAGGTGTAAACAGGCCCTTAGAATGTAGTGCACACGACACGCTGCATGCTTTTGTCCTTTAAAGCTTTGTTTGAATGGAAAAGAGCAGCTGGGAGAATAATGCAGGTTTAAATCAACAGACTTCAATTTTGAGTGGATTATTCCTTAAATCAATCCCTCCATATAAAGATGACAGACTTATTAACTTCCTAACACAATATCATCCCTTTCATTCGTGTAGCCTGTTTTCCCATTGCAATCTGGCCGGCTTTTCCATGACAACAAAACAAATGTAATTGATTTGTCTAATCTGCTGGGACGGCAGCAGCCAGAGAGCGAGAGATGTGTGTGTGTGTGTACCAATGAAATCCTAATAATGCCTGAGAAAATCCATCAAATTTCACTACGCCGTTAATTCACAGGCCAACCCCGATGCTTCAGTCAATGGACTTCAGAAAGACAAAGGCTTTTTAAAGCTTTCTGAAATCACACTGAAATCAATTCTATTGTAACACACACATATGTAAAACTGGAAGAAGTGTGTTCAGTCTCAACTCTGGACATTGCCTTGATATTTAACTTTATTTATAGTACACAATAACGACAAAAATGCCAAAGAATAACAGGAGAATCTTACAATGTCCAGGTTATCGGTCACCCCCAAAACTAAAGAAACAAAATAGCAAAGTGTCTATTTACACTAAGTGCAAATTGCCCACCTAATTGGCAGAGGCTATTTACACTAACTCCGCCCACAAAATGACAGAAGACGCTGGATTATTAACAGTAACAATAGTGTAGCTGTAAGGTGCGTGGCAGAAAGTATTGATGCAAATCAACCCGAGTTCGAATTCACCTTTTGCCACTCTACTCCCTTTTCCCATCACATATCATATCAGAAAGGCATTTATTTTCAATAAAAATGAAGAAAATATTAGAAAAAGGGAAATAAAGTGTCTACCGTGTGTTTAATAATAAAGTGTTTAGGGTTAGGGGTACGTGTATGGAGGAGGGGCTTTATTGTCCCAATAAGGCGGCATTCATTTAATAATTTTAATAAATATAATAATTTACACTGTTATTATAGCATACCGTTTAATGTACAACAGCACTGAGGTGCAAATAGTATAATAGCGTCTAACTACAATTTACACTTGTTGGAGAAAAAAATACTGCTACTTTTACATAGTGTAAATATAATCTATTGCTATTTTCACTTAGTGCAAATAGCCGCTGCCAATAAATAAACGGAGTAAGACAAAAGAAAGACCATTTTTTGTGACTTTTCATGACAATTAAGCACATGGATGATTCACACTCAGTGATTTTGATTAGATTCTGATTGTTGGATTACAGTAATTTAGGCAACAAATACTGCTGTGATATATAAATGCAATTTAGTGATAATTTATGGGAAAAATAAAATGAATAGATCAATAATCTTTCTTTACTTTATATTTCTTTCTTTTGATTTGGGGGTGAAATATGACCAGGGTATGATCTGGACAAACGTGTTTTTGATAATAAAGAGATTTATCAATGTCCATTCAAATTTGAATCAGACAATGAAATGTAACACTGTTTTGTATCAAAGTTAAAAATGAACAGGTTTTTTGTCCTAACAGGAACCGAAAGTGCTGCACAATGGCAAAAACTGAGCCAATAAAGCCATATTCAATGTTCAAAACACAGTTACGTGGAGAAAGGATTTGGGCCAATGAGATTTCACTGTGTGAAGGCTACCCAGAGTGCCAGAAACAGAAACCAAGTGGCTAACAGAATGTATTGTCTGATTAACATTATTCACTTCATCATGTTGTACACAAAAACAGCATGACTGAGCACTAAATTGAAATCCCAAGAGGCAAAAACCCCAAAAGGCTCTAAACGACACATGCTTCAAGTTACTGCCCACTGACCTTGATGGGGGGTTTGCGAGTGATATGCGACACGAGGAAGTTCATGGCGATATCCTCGCAGTTGATGTACTCGTCCACCATGTCACGTATAGCTTGAGGCATGACGTAGGAATAGAGGTATGCGTAATACTGAGGAGAGAAAGAAATGATGGCTTTTAATAAAAAATTAACACAAGAAAGAACCATGATGTTGAACAGAAATGCTCATAAATGAAACATGTTGTGCTGTTTGCTTATCCATCTGCAAAATGAGGCGCTGCATTATGCATTTGGTTGCACAACAACGTACTTGGTAGCAACATCAGTTTTCAACTAACTAACTAAACCATTTCCAGCTCCTATTACCTGGTGTTACTTAGGTAAAACTACATAAGCTCCATGTCTATTTTTGGCATAATCAGGCTCTGGAAGTGTCAAAGTGGTCAAAGCTTCACCTTATGGAAGAAGGCCGCACCCGTCAGTACCATGGAGAGCTCGCAGGAGTAGTTCGAATTGTAGAGCCAAGATTGGTGATTTACATCCCAAGCATGAAACCTTCCCGGGAAACCCACAATCCGGTCTCTGGCCTCCCGCCACACCCTGGAAGTGGAGAAAGAGAAAGAGATGGGAATGGTTATAATAATATTCACTGAATAGCATTTGCCAAACAAAGCCCTTTAATAGAGTAACTGAATACATAGGCTATAAAACTATAAAAGATCTCACAAAAAAACAGACCATAATACCAGAACACCAGTCATATTAACATTGCTCAGAAATGGCAGCATCTTTTGCGTTATAATGCACACTTCAAGTACTAAGAAAAAATCTGATAATCAATCATCCTGACCAATTCCCTAATGTTTATAGACACAACATTAGTGTTCAACATGTAAAGATCCCCGACGTGACCCTTTTTACCCCAAAACAAACATATAATAAACAGAGCAATTCCAATAGGCTCCTCTCACCATCGGTGCTCGAGACCTAATAAACCAGCTCAACCTAAATCAAATCTCCCATTATCTGCTCCTCTGACCAATGTCTAAACATGTAAACAAACAAGGAGATACACAGGAGTGAAGGAGAGCGTTTTCTTTAACTGTCTTGGACTTTATCAGATCAGATACTTTAAATTCCTCAAACTGACAACTGAATCTGCAGCTGTGGGCTTAAACTCTCTGAATGCAGAAACCCTGCAGGAACACACCACAGAAGCAGTGTGAAATATTTTTGGACAAATACATTTAAAACGGGCATATAGATGTTATTGTGCATTTGAAAACACATTTTTCAAATCTTTGGATCACACTAAAAATGGTATTCTTAAAATGCACAGACTGAGGCGGAAAAAAAGATCAGCTTACAATGTCTCTCCAATAGAAATATTTTTATTTCCTTGCTTTATAAAACAGAATTTATTTAGAGTAACAAAATAGTAGTGACAGTGAAAACTTTTTATTTTTATTTTTTACGTTTCACATTCTTTTCTAATAATATAAAGGACAAATAATTACTTCAAAAAGATAAAACAACATAACATTTCTTTAAAAGAGGAATAATGGGAACTATCTGATACAAATAAAAGCAAAAATATCTCTAAATATGTCTTTTCAAAAGGGGGAAAATATCTGCAATATTTTTAGGCATTGCTTTTTCAGGGTGTAATGTTTTACCAATCAACAATTATAATAAAACAATTAAAATAGTACCCATTAAACATTATGGCAGGGCGATTTAGCACAAAATAAAAAAAGTATCTCTCAATATTTTCAGCCTTTTGACTATATTCAGTATATATATTTTAATACTGGTGTATTTGCTTTGAAATGGCCAAAAGGTGGATAAAAAATGTGAACAGCCAAAGTAGATTCAAAGTGTTTCATGCAAGAAACTGGCCAAATAAAAGTGACTTGGCATTCTTTATAATCGCCCACTCCTATTAAACATACTATTGTTATATGATCTTGGTATCACAAAAATCTCACCTGAACCCAAACATAATTTCATCGTGTCGAAGATGGGCATCATCATCAATAGACAAAATAGCCTCAGTCTCGACTGCATCCCAGGGAAGGAAGCGATTGTTTAAGCTGTTTTTCTCTGTGCGTACCACCTGCAAAGAAAAAGCCTATCTGTCAACATGCCATATTGTGAATGACTGCTGAGGTAGAACATGGCATTATTACGAGGTTTTACTGGGCCAGCCAGATATATAACCTTATAAAACCAACAAATGCCAATCAAAACAACTTAATACTTCTGGAAAGCATTTTTGATGACTTTGTATGTTTAAAATTTAAAATGGCTCTTAGTTTCCAACCATGTATCCATAATTAAAGATGCTCAATTTCAAAGTTCCAAATTACTTCTCAAAGACACAAAGAGAATAAGAAACTTGGGGAACTTCGGCATTCTATTTGGGATTTCATTTCAAAGTATAACCTTACTATGGGCTTAATACAGCACTGTTTCCTTTAATATCACCAGAACTAATTTGGCTTTCTGCCCTAGAGACATGAAAGCTATGCTTCAAAGACAGCAGAGAGAGCAGACCAAATCTACAGTAGAATGCAATGCTTGTGAGGTTATATCACATTTAAGCCTTTGAGAATTCAAACTAATAACAGGCTTAACAAAAATGTTCTCACTGAGTGGTGCCTGCCCGTGCAAAACTTGCCACCATGATGGGAAGGGTGCTATGCATTTCCAGGGTGTTTCAGGTGGTTACTAGCTGATTGCTTACTGGCCCAGTAAAAAGAAATGACTATAAGAAATATGATTAAAAAAATACTGAATGCTTACCACAATAGGTAGACCAATGTCTGGCCAGAGCAGATCATCAGAAGGTGGTTTGGGGGAATTCCACACAACCACCACTTTGTTGAGATAAGGAAGACCATTAAGTCTTTCCAGTGAGTTCATAAGAACCTCCTCCCGTTCATAAGTAAGCATGACCACAGTGAACTGCTCCCGTGGGACGTTACCTCCTAGAGCGGCCTGAAACTCTTTACCAGATCCCCCAGAACCACCACCGATAGGACGAAAACCAGTCCCCGACCCCAGAAACTTGGCCTCTGAAGGAAGTACAGGGTCCAAGGGAGTATGTGGGAATAGATGGAAAGGGCCAGGTGCACGATTCCAGGTGCGGTAAACATCAGCAGCTGTGTAGGTAAAGTTACGCAAGAAGCGTGGCGAAGCATAAGGGGGCTCTACTTCAACAGGCCCTAGATCGAGGTCACCATTGTCAGCCATGTTAGCATCGGTTCCTGCCAACTTTCCAGCTTTGTGAGGAATCTCCTGGGCAGGCTCCTCACGTATGGGTGCTGCTGGTATCTGGATGCTGGTTCGTACACTAGCCAGGATGGTGCTGAATATGCTCTCTGACGTGGAGAAGTACGTCTCCCAAAGAAACCGACCCTGCCGTCGCATGGCCAGAAGATCATTGTCTGAGATGCTACGCAACAGAAAGTGCAGCTCCGTAATGCGAGGCTTGGGTACCATAATGACTGCCTCACTCCAGCGTATGAGGTGATGGTAGGGCAACTTTGAGTGGTCGCCAAGCACCACCGGTATTGCCCCAACTTCCAAAGCCTCAAAAAGTCTCATGCTACAGCCAGCAGATGCCACCAACTGGCCATCACCTGGAGATATCACCAGGGCAAATGTAGAAACCTTCAGTACCTCTAAACGATCCTCTCGCTCGCCACACAATGCCCACTCTGTTGGTAAACTTGTCTTGGGCTGATTCTTGCAAGTGAACTCAACAAGAACCTGGTCTAGGTGACTGTCCTGTACAGCTTTAAGTGTGCCAATAATGCGATCATCATAGTCAGCTGGTGGATCCCCTTCCATTTCCTCCTCAAAAGACTGTGGTGGGGCTTCAAGCAAGCTGCTCCTCAAAGACTCAACCTTTTCTCCCTGAAAGGTGAAGAGGTACTTCCTCTTGACAGGGACTTGCGGAGGCACCTCTAGGAAGTTTGGCTCAGAGAGAGCGTGGACTAGAGGAGACACCACCATGTCGAAACCTTCTCTATATTGACGTTCAAAAAAGGTAGACTGTGCCACTGCTGCTCGTCCTGTGCTCACATTGTACAGGAAGTTCTGCGTCAGAGACTTTCTAGAAAGATGGACAAGCAAGTGGTTGTGGCCATCCAACCTCCAATACGGCAAAGCCTTGAGCTGCTTTTCAAGGTCAGAAGGTAAAGCAGGGGGAGAGGAAGGTGATTCTTGTATTTCCCCAACAAGCACTATGTACAGACAGGCAATGTTTGGATTATTGGTGACATATACACTGCTTTTGACGGATGATGCGAAGGCTTGTTTGACAAGAGGGTCCAACTTCTCACCCCAAGGATATGATCCTGTGTCATAAACATAGACAGGGAAGCCAGATGTAAGTGGACATCTAGCGTAATCGAAACAAGAATGCAAACGACAGCTTTGGGCCGACTTGGGTGGAGGGTATCCAGGATCATCCTTGTCTGGTAAAAGTCTAACTGGCAACGACAGTTTTGGCTGGTTTTGTGCCATAAGTTCCTTGTAAGAGTGCTCTGTCTGGCTGATGACATTTTTGAGTTGTAGCAAGTCTTGTTTGTGTGCGTCAATACTACGTTTACAAGCCTCGATGCGTAGGTTGAGTCGGGCTATCTCGCCATTGAGCTCTTGCCGCTTTGACTCAAGCTGAAGTAGTTCCTCGCTGACAGATTCCCGTATACGACACAGATCTTGCACATGCTTTGCTTCACACAGCTCTCCTCCAGGTCTTGGCCCAAAAATGCGCTTATCTGGTCCCCCTGCTTCATCTATTGTGGTGAGGTAGTAATGTGCAATGAGAGGGAAGAAGACCAGGATGAAAAAGAGCATGAAACTGAGCCACGTGAGCCGTACTCGCCGCAGAACCCATGGCTGGCCGTTGTTCCCGATGATGCCTCCACTTCGCTGCATTGTGAAAATATCACTCTCCTTCGAACCAGATACGTGAATGCAGCTGTTGAAGAGATTCAGCTGCCATAATGCAACTTCATCTGTACACTTTGAGTTTCCAGAGTTTGTAACTTGTGTGTCCTTGTTTTAATTGGGAGTTCTAATAAAAGGAAATTTCATCTTTCTCGTGACAGAATGATATCGTCCATAAACAAGGTCTTGTGTGTGGTATGATGTATGTTAAAACTGAAACTATCCAAGAGAAGAAGGAGAGTCCCAGACAGCAGTAAAAACTGAGTGCCCTTGATGGAGATCAGCAATGGAGGCATGGCTGATCTTCATTTTTCTTTGTGGCATCATACTCCGGTCACTCTTCCATAGTTGGGACTCATAAATTGGCCAAAGTGTGCCATGAACTCTTGGAGATACTGCATGCCATCCAACTTCATTCTATCTGTAAAACAGAGAGCAAGTATCAGTTATTTGCACATAGAACAGAACATGCATCAGAACTAGGAGTGTAACGAAACACTTATGTCACGATTCGATACATATCACGATACTGAACTCACGATACAATATTATTGCGATACTCTAAGACATATGGTAAAAAGTTAACAAAAAATTAACTGTAAAATGCTACATTTGGTATTACATTGGGTGTGGAAATGAAGGTTTAGGCTTGGACTTAGACTATTGCTGATAACCCAATGCAGAGGACAATAGTGACACCAGAATCAAAATATTCATGATTCTGAAGCTGAAAATACAAATTTATTTCAGACGAATATGCTTGCACTCTGTCACTGACTAGATATATTTAAAATAATGTAGGCCACTTTTTACTAGTACAGACATCTGGCATTATCAGGACCCACAAATATTCCCCCATTGCATTATATTCAACATTATATATAGTAGTTTAATGTAGTACTGACACTGAAAAAATTACTATTCACATAGTCATTTATTATTTTGGGTGAACCATACACAATGCATATTGTCACTACCCACATTACATATTGTTGCGCTTTTGTATTGCGATATAGTGTGACACGATATATTGTTACACCCCTACTAATTACGCATTCCGAAAATTAACTGTCAGAGTTCTCTGTATCACCTCTTGAATAGTCTGCCACTATAATTCAAGTATGCATGTGAAATATCTACTCTAGGACAACACGCTTGCAATGTGCTGGTCAAGCATTCATGCCTATATTTGTTTCTGGCCTAAGAGATTCTCTGGCCAAATCGCAGTTCTAATTAGCGATTACATTATGGAATTGGCAGGAGATGTTTTTTACACAGGGTGCCACAAAAAACAGTTCGCACCCATTTGTTAGATTCTAAACCAACTGGCAGCGCTCAGAATGACCTCACAGGCTTGTCCTATTCACTGAACACATTATCTGGTATGCTGACAGCTAGCTTCAAGCATTAGCAGCTGTTCTAAAGCAAACTCACAGAGCAAACACGCCATAAGGCATGCGTACAGGGAAAAAAAAACACATGTGAATCGCCTCAAGTGACTGTCTCTGCTAGATTTGCACATGTAGCCATCAGTAAAAGCCATGCAAGATTTCAGAGAGCTTCATTATCTCTGGATGAGAGGACATGCGGGATGTTTTCCCCTTAATGGAACAGATTGTCACATGGCCACTGATCCTGCAGAAGGGAAGAGATGCACAATCACACGCTACTGTCACACCACAGCCTGGCTCATATACTGTATTGATCATCCAAAACTCAGAAATCAAAACAAAAATCTATAGTGTACATTAAGATAAGCCTATACTAGGACAATACAATGACATGACAGTCTCCACATTACAAACTAAAGTGGCATTAAGGAGCTAATGTTGCATCAGAGAAGCAGAGAACCAGCAAGGATGCATTGGAATTTGTTTACCATCCATACAAAAATTACACATTAGTGCCCTTCAAAGCATGGTACATTGAAAACAGTATGGATCATATGTATATGTTGGCCATTAGCTGGCATTTTCTATTCTACATACAAAAACAAAAAAAAACACCTATGCCCTTTTTCATCACCAGCGTAGTTCATACATTTTTTTCCATGTACTTTTTACATTTGTAGTACTTTACAAATTGGGATTAAGCACAAGTCTGATCTCCATTGCTACTTAAAGACTACCAGGCCTTGTGAGAAGAAGGAGCACCCTGCTCTCCTCAGATTAATTACTCTAGATCTCCAGAGAAACGTTAAAGTGATGAGAGACAGACACTAAGGGACAAATTGGGGCTGATAAAACACTTACCCTCTGAAGACCTGAAGTGGATAATCATTCATTGTGACCTTTCCTTGTAAAGCTCCATTATTTCACATCCTTACACTGCTGTATGTGTTGTTATTTGTGGTTGTTCACCAGACTAATAGCATATGATTGTCATGTACTAAAAAAAAAGAGCATATAAACTCTAGAACATAAAGGCTCTGTGTTTATGTTATGCAATAGGCAAAAAAAAGGGTTAATATTCCATTACCAATTTAGGCCATTTCCCCTCTCTTGAGAGTTCAGATTCAGTCTGCTCGATTACATAGAGGATATTTTCATTAGCATCACATTAAACACTATCCTAAAGAATTCATCATTAAATCCTGAAATACAAGTATTTTATTTACAAATATCATGTGTGCAAATAATGCAATTCAAAGCAATCAATATTTATAAATATATAAACATCAGAAGTTACCTTAATATGTGCACTGTTCAAAATTCAATACTTTTATTTAGCAAGGAGGCATTAGGCCTAAATGTTTTCTGAAGTTTGGGCCACCACAAGAAAAAATTACATTTTAAAACCATTCAAATAGAAAACAGTTTTTTTATTGTAATCATATTTCACAATATTACTGTTTTGTTTATTTTGATCTAATAAATGCAGCCTTGGTGAGACTTTTCAAAAACAAAACAAAAAAATCTTACTGACCCCAAACTTTTAAACTGTAGTGTATATGCATTAGAAGCAATACAGATGTTTAGCTTTACTTAGCTATTCCAAAAAAAAAAAACACCACGTTCAACAGCAGAAAAATAAAATCTGTTTAATTAAAGTGTCAGAGAGAAAAGGATCAAAAATTAAATGACTGCTTTGCTGTAAGAAACTTTGACTAATGTAGGGGGGAAGCCACAAAATGTAGTAGTGTTTTAGTTTTATTTTGGCTGATCTCTATTCCGGACTTGCACACAAACTGCATTGCAATCATTTCCCAAAATGTCATTTATGTGGAAATGTTACGAAGTCTGTAAACAGGACGTTAACACAGGCCAGAGACGGGGACACGCCAAAGACGGACGCAATGAAGAGAACACAGACGCAGCAGCAGAGCAAACACTGTACCAGGCAGCAATGTTCGCAATGCTCAAAATATGAGAAGAAAAATATACATATTAAATTAGGGGTGGAATTTATATTAATGTATCTCTGAAGGGAACTAACTGTCTTTCGATGGCATTTTCTTTTCCTCTTACCTCTCTATAAATGAGTGTTTATAAGCACAGCTCTGCTTTGTATCCAAAGAAACCACTGCTGTTCTTATAAGCGCCACCTACTGTTAGAGAGAGACAATTTGCATTTTCATTCAGTGAGTCCGTCTGCTGTTTTTGTTTTGTGCAGGTGTGTCTTATGTAGCATAATTTCACAGCTCTAAAGTCGTCAGACCATTATGTTTTACATTTTATTTTAAATCTTGAGATTTTACAAATCTGAAAAAAACAACTGATCATGCTACATGTGTGGAGCAACTTTGTTTGGATTGTGATTAAAATGCAGTGGTTGCCTCCAATTTCAATGGCTACAGATATTTTTTGTTTAAGGCTAGTTTGCCTTAAACTAGCCTTAGAGTAAATAAACAATACATTTTATTAAAGAAAAAAAGAATATTGGCAACCGGTATCATAATCGGCCAATTTGCTTGTAAAAAATAAATAAATAAAAAATCGGTTCATCACTAAAGTGACAACAGCCTAATAAACCTAGTGCTGTATAACTTTAATTGTAGATTATTTATTTTTTACAATGAAAACGATCCAGTGTTATTTTATTTTGATTACTTTATTCGATTTCTGTAGCATTTCTTACCTGAATACAACTGTTAGACATGCCTAAAAAACTTAAAGCACTGTTTATTTCATTTGTATCTGAATTCTATTGTATTTATTTGTGCTACTACTTGTAATTTGTTTTTGTTCTCATTTTATTACTGTATGTTTACTTATGTCTTTTTTGTGAATTCAATTCAAAGTTTGAAATCAAGCTTCCTTGTGCTGTGTGTAAGCTATTGCGATAAAATTACACTACTGAAAAAACACAAATAGATTTTCAATATGGGATAATATTAAAAAGGTTTTTCCCTGTGGTATCGAAAATGGTATTGATATTTTCAAGACATTATATCGAAGTTAGAAATTTCAGTATTCCAATGTAGAATATGGGCCTTTTAAAGCAGAATAGTTTTCCCCCATGTGGGTACGCAAGACCCAGCATGCCTGAGTTTGGTCTCTGTTAATCGCCCGGCCATTATCATGAAACTGGAGGTGTTCTGAAGAACTTCTTCACACTGACCTGTGATCAGGTCCAGAAAGTTTCTCTGGAATAAAAACTCTCCATCTAATCCTCACACGGCCTCTGGGTTGTGAAGGCAAAGCAAATTTACCACAAGCCAATATTTGACCAGTTTTGTAAATGGAAGGATTTTTTCTCAGTCTGGCCACGGCTGAGTAGCAGCAAATACGGATGAAAGCTGGAAATTATGGATCCCTTATTATCAGTGTGAGCATATTTTATGCAGCACTGACATTTCCCGACAACAGAGTAGCCAATTTTCTCTGAGCGAAATTTGCTTTGAAGGCAAGAGTCCAAGAAGCACCAGTGTAAATACAAAAAAAAGGAAACGTTCTGTACTTTAATAAAATATCACTCCCCACCAGCATACCACAGGAAAACTTTGCTTTCCTTCTCTCTTCCTCTTTTTCCACTTCCTTTCCAGCTGAAATGAATGTTGCATCAGCAAAAACAGACACCAAAAGGTATGTTCAATAAGGCAAACCATCAATATTATTATTTCTAATGTTAAGGTTAGTAATTTGAAAAAACCCTTACACTACTAAATATTAAACTACATAACAAAAATAACTCTTAGCAAATGCATAGTAGCGCCCTGGCAACAGCCAAGCACTTTGATGGTGAGTTTTACACTGTTATAAAATGTAGAGCTATCTGTGCATTTTGCATGAACCTGAAATGGCTTTAAAAATGCAAAGTTAATGTTTCCCAACGTCTCAATGAATCTTTATCAAATGTTCTGTCAGGAGTTGTTGCTCGACATCTAATGGCAATTTTACACTGCAAAGGTAAAGGTAAAACCAGCAATGCAAGTTTTAGAGGAGCTCCCCCGACAAATCTCGCGAGAATGACGACATGCTT